AGAACATACAATGGAGTAAAGACAGTCTCTTCAGTAAATGGTGTTGGGAGAACTGGACTTGTACATGTAATTAAACTCCTTGGCCTGAGGTTTGTTTGTTTCCCCTTCCAGATTCTCTTACACCCTTCCCCCATGCTGTCCTTTTGCTTGGAAGCTGGTCTCTCTGGACTTGTCATTCAGGCTCTCTTGCCCTCTGGCTTCTTGTTGGGTTCAGTCCAAGCGAGATACAGACAGAAGGACAGAGGCTATTTATTCCATGATCTATCCACCACTACTGCCTGGGCACAGGGTGGCAGTAGCTGTATTCCGCTACCCAAGTCTCAGCTCATAGGGTGGTCCTCTCCAGAAGCTCTCGTTCTTGATCCTGTAATAATACCTTCCCATTACCTCTTCCCCTACCTACGAAAATATGTTTTTTGATTTTAATGAGAGAAGAAGGGGGAGGAGGGGGAGAGAGAGAGAGAGAGAGAGAGAGAGAGAGAGAGAGAGAAACATCTACTGGTTGCCTTCCTTATGCACCCTGACCAGGGTTCAAACCCACAACCTAGGTGTATGCTCTGACAGGGAATTGAATTGGCAACCTTTTGGTGTACAGGACAATGCTCCAACCAACTGAGCCACCTGGCCAGGACTCTTTCCTATCTTTTTAAGGTAAGGTAAGTGGTAACTTTAGTTCTAGGGGGTGCCTCGCCATACTTTGCTGATGTTCTTAACTGTGCGTATACCTTTGTACGTGTTTCCTTCATTAAAATCCCTTCAATAACTCCATTGGAGTGGCCATCTGTTTCCCACTGGGATCTGACCAATACCTTCATCATTTAAGGATGAAAAAGTGAGGCCTCAAAAGTAAAGCCTGAAAGTCACATAGCTCAAGTCAAATAGTCAGTGATGCCCAGAAATGTGGCCTGCCAGATTACAGAGTTCTCATTAGCCAGTGCTCATCCTCCTGTGGCTATCTCCTTCACAGTCACATTGATGGGCACTTTCTAGAAACTTCTTTCCACTGAGCTTTGACAATAGCTGTACTCAATAGTTTGTTCAAGTTTTGAACTAGAACATATCGTATTAGGTGATTCCTGAGGCAACCTCGAGCACAGAGGATACTGTTTTCACGAGAATGGATTGAAATCAGGAAAACTGAGTTTTTAAATGGTTGCCTAAATAGAAATGGAAAATTTAGCCTAAGAAACTATTGCAAAAGTTAAGTAAAAAAAGGCATGAGAGTGATGAAATGTCTACTCTAAAACAAATTCTCATCACCAAAGAGGGGGGCAAGGATGACAAAGCTGCCCAGGGTCAAGGGCTGAGCTCTGGGGAACGACTTCAGCCTGTGTGAGAAATACGAACAGGTTGTAGAAGGGTAAAGAATTTTAGAGCCTTCAGGGCCTGTGAAAGAGCAATAGGCAGCAGTAGTAAACAGACAACTCATCAAGCAGGAAACTTGACCATTGAAAAATGTGTGGAAAACATGTTTTATGTAGCAAAACACCACTGCATTACTGAGCAGGGTCTGCTGCTGGAACCCTGGGCATCTGAAACTTCAGATTGCTAGAAACATTTAATTGTATTAAACTGGCCTGTGTCAAAAGGCTCTTCTGTAAAGGTGAAGTTTTCTATAACCACATCTTTATTTAGCAATCTTGCTTTGAAACAAATGCACATACTTAACATATTAACTTTGTTCTGACTGCATGCTTGGCTGAATTTCCCAAAGCTGTTGTTTGATCATTTGCTGTTACAAAGTGTCTCCACGGGGAATTTCTTTTACCAGAATTTGAAAGTAAGCTAGAAAGTTTTAATAGTAAATGACTCTCTTTAAAGGAGTTAGTATAATAGAATTATTAACAACATTAAATGTTGTTAGTAATTGCACTTCATCTGTCGAAGCAGTTACCTGCTTTACCTCATTTAATCCTCATAACAGCCCTGCCATTATCACTCAGCTCCACGGTCATCTCCTTGCTCTCTGCTGCGCTACCTTGCACCAGGCTCTAAGGCTCAAAGGCTCTAAGAATTTCTCTAAGCAGAATTTCTGTAAGGCTCCAATCCCATCAGTGTCCCAGGCTGGATGCATGGAAAATATTGCTCAAAGAAGTCACTGTCATAGCATCATTGCTCCTTCTGGTGCAGCCACCCTTTTTACTGCTGAGCCTTTAAGGAAGCAACAACTATTTTTCGAGCTCCTAGTGAATGTTCAGTGCAGTCCTGTCTGATCTGTATACACAGGGGCCTTTATAAGTGTTGTACATGGATTCAGAGGTGGGTGGAGGATTTGGATCCATCCGATACCAGTCCAAAAGGGTGGAAGAGGGTTGTATTCCTGAGAAAGAAGAGCAAGGTCATTGTAAGATGAAGAAATGCTGACCTAAAAGTGAGAAAGGGGATTTGATGTTGGGAGATAAACACACAATGCAGTAAACATGATTTATTTACAGAATTGTGCACTTGAAACCTATACAATTTTATTAACCAATGTCACTCCAATAAATTTAACTTAAAAAGTAAAAAAGGGGACAATGAGAAGAGATTTACTTGGGTTAGAGAAAGCAAGAAAAATTAAATTAGAAAAAAAGGAGATTTTCCTCCAGATTCCCAAATGAGGAAGCTCTGTGGCCAAAAGATAACCTACTCTTACAGTTTTGTATAAGATTTGTCAATTTGGAGACTGTTGCTTTCATACACATACATAACAGTTTACTGCATTTATCATAATAAAAGAATTTATTGAATTCTTTACTCTGTAGTATTTTTTTAGTTTGATCATCCTGATTACCTTACATGTACCTGGATTTCCACCTTGATATTTAGGAATAAAATTTTAGGACAAAGAGTAGAAATTAAAAAACTGAAATTTCCATTGAATTGCTGGAATTTACTGTTTGAAAATCCACAATACAGGTTAAAACCCCAAACACCTGTATATATCATATATTTTCAACATGAAATACCATATAACTGACTTTTTATGAGTATAATTCACTCATCAATTACTTTAACTGTCAAGGTAGATTCATGTTCATAAGAAACAAATTGCTTCATGGAGGGTGTGTCCACATGCGCGCGAATCAGAAGGAACTTAATGGTGTAAGTCTCGCCCTTCTGCTCCTCTGCCATTGCTTCCTGCAAAACTGGGCCAATCACCACACCTAACTTTTTATTAAGGATCCATGAAACCATCCTCTACGTCTGAAATTCCTAACCCCATGTGGTTCCTTATTTCTGAAATTATTCTCACTTACACTTTTATTCCTTTGTTTGGCTAATGAGAGTTGCCCCCTGTTAAAAAGTACTTGTGTTTGTATAAGCCATTTCACCTCAGTGAAGATACATTTATGGCTCTTGCCATTACGGGAATGGAGAAACAACAGGGTAAGTCCGGAGAGGAGAGTGATGGCTTGCGGTTGGGATAATAAGGACAGGCTGCATTTTCACAGTTTGCTCAGGACTCTGTTCTATAGCACGTGACTATTTCTTAAATCTACCTGTACAAAAAAATCCTATGTTATTTAATAGCGGTCTTCACTCAAGCCTGTTTCATTTGGCTTTATATGCAATGGTTTGTCTTACAGGGAATCGTTGTCTTTGGCTGGGCAAATTTGGGATGTTTGGAGACAAAAGATCTAGAGAAACCGATTAGCTCTTTCTTGGTCCTCTCACAAGAATTTTTAAAACTCCCTCTTAAGATACAACATTATACAAGAAGATTCTTCCTGGAAACAGCAGCCTGCATTAGGGATTCCCAATCTTTTTGGACTAGTTTGGCCTCTTGACAATGTCCCCTTCCTGCATAAAACGTTTGCAGCACGAACGATCTGTCAGTGTAAATACACAAGAACTCTGTTTTGAGGCTCATTGTGGGTTTTTTAGATTTTTTTGAACTGATTCTTAAAATTATTGGGATCACCATGGCGTGTGGAGGATCCTTGGTTCATCCCACGTGTCAGCATATTCTAACCCAAGATGTTCATGCCCCAAAGCCAGCTTTGGGGGGAGATAATGCAGCCACTTGTGACCTAGTAGCCAGGCTGTTTTGGAGCCATAGCAACATTTCTTTGCCCCTCTCCCGTGAGTTTCATTTACATCAGAGGCCTATGGCAGAGCCTTAAGGGTCAGAGTACTGTATGAACAATTATAAGAACTTAATGAATGCTTTATTTTTATGGCTGATTCTATTTACCAGCAGATGGCTCTATTGTATAACCAGGAAATGCACATGTATAAAACTGGTGGGCTCTTAAGCCAAAGGTGGGGGAAAAAAAAACAAAGCAGCAGGTTTTCCTTTTTAACTTTCCATAGTGCTGCGTAATTTTAATGAATTGTCTCAATAACCAAAGGGTAGTCAGGAAGCACTCCAGTCTTAGTAGGGCCTGTGGCTGATATCTCTGTGCCAATTTTGCACTCTTCCGCTTTTAGATGAGAAAAAGTAACTTTTGAACAATTTTGAAAGGCAAAGTCTACATATCTGCTGATTTGAGTCATATTATCTGTGCTCTGGGGAAGGGTGATCTGGTTCTGAACCTTGTCGTATCTTTGTTTTAATGGAACTTGTGATAAGAAAGTGACAGAGGAAACAAGAGTGTTTCTGAATTCAGATGACTGTTCCTCAAGATAGGTGAATGTTAAAAATGTAGGCATTCTTGGTGACATCTTTTGTTAGGAATGTGAAATTTTGGTCTTACCCTCCTGAAGGAAAGTTCTCTTTGTAAAAAGAATAAAAGTTGCAGACTGACCAAATTCCAACATGGGTAATTTTATTCTAACATTTTAAAGCTATTCATTGTCATAATTTAATATGCAATTTTACCCTTCCTTTAGAACCTTTAGAATGTTAAATAAGACTATTGTTTTTGTAATGTTTCATTGTTTTATTACTATGTTGAAGAAGAAAAAGAGATGATATATGTGCATTTATTCAGCCTATCCTTAGTCCATAAAGTTGTTTGAAATGTGCTCAGAACATTATCCATGTCAAAAAGTGATACTTGATTATTATTTTAAAGAATGAGTCTCTGGAAACTGGACAGATGACGTTTACTTTGGCACGTCTTGAGGCCTTGGAGATCTGCCTGAAGGAAGCGGAAGAAAAGGCTAAAGTCTTATCGGAGCAGGTAATACCTGTCATTGGTACTGGAAAGATATGTTCCTCAGCGTTCATATTGCAAGTATAAATCTAAATACATGTTTTAACCTCTGAGATTATTCACACACGCTCACACATGCATGCACCCTCATGCACATGTGCACACACAGTATTTCATTCATTTTAGATATAACTAAAATCGCTTTCATCTGTATGAACCTTTTCAGTCTTTACAACTCCTTTTACATTTATATTTTGATTTTCATTCACCACAGCCCATGAGTTAGGCAAGCCATCATTAGGCAAGTGGTTTTCCTGAATAAGTGAAGCATATTTACATTATAAACAGATAAGCCCAAAGGTAAAATACAACCTGTAGGAACAACAGAGAAGTAATTTTCTCAGGTTATTTGAGGAAAAAGATTTTCCAAATATTGGCTTCCCTCTTGGCCTTTAGAGACTTAAAGAAACAAAGGAAGCCCTAGGTGGGCCTTGGCCCACACTGCTCAGCCCGATGCTGCAGAGGTGATCTGCCTACACAGCAGGTCTCCTATTTCAGAGACAGTGAGTGTGGGTATCAGTGAAGCTCAGTGCAGGGGCTGGACCATTTCCCAGTGGGATTATGCTTTGCAAACAGCTGAGTGTGTAGTGCAAATCCCACTCTTACTGTTGCTTTTTTGCCCTGCGCTGGGGCATTTGGCCCCAGAGAACAAAGCTGCCTAGAGTCTGGGTCCTCCGCCAGTGTCCACTGCTCACTCTTGGTGACAGTGGAGAAAAACGGACATCAGGAACCATGAAGTATTATAAACCTCTATTGATTTATCATGGATTGGAACATTTCGATAATATATTTTTAGAAACTTTTGAAAAACAGTTTTGAGGTGTTTTTTCATAACAAAGGTCTGCCCAGCAAAATTTGGTTGCATTCAAATTCTATAAGAATTTTTGGGGAACCCTGGCTGGTATGGCTCAGTGGATTGAGCACCAGCCTGTAGACCAAAAGGCTGCCAGTTCAATTCCCCATTCAGGGCCCATGCCTTGGTCACAGGCCACGTCCCCATTTGTGGGTGTGTGAGAGACAATCGATTGATGTTTCTTTTGCACATTGATGCTTCTTGCCCCTCTTTCTCCCTCCTTTCCCCTCTCTCTAAAAATAAATAAAATATTTTTTAAAAAGAATTTTTTGTAGAAACTGGAGGGAGGGGGAGATGCTTATGTTATGAGAAAAAGAAGTATAATTAACATGTAACTCACACAAAAATGGCCTCTATTTCTCAACTTACCAAAAGAATGCATGTCTTGCTTTGGATTGTGTTTATTGTTTACTGACTAAATGTGATTGATGCAAGGGGTCTCAGGGGACTTACAGCATTTAATGAGAAGGTGTTGCTTTAGGCCCAGAGACCATTTGGGAGAGTTTCTACATTTGCAGCACACAATAACCCTGGCTTACGCACTGGTATTTTCTCTAAGACAAATAAAAACAAGCCTTAAACTGTGGAAAAATTATGAATTATGAACATTATAATGATGAACATGAGGCACCATTTCGAAGAAAAAAAATTAAGACTTTCATGGCCTCCAAACCTGGCAGAAATTTTGAATGACCAGCTAAAGGAGGGACACCTGTGGATATTAGTTTTTGCACTAAGATATATGTTTATTTTGTAATTGAATGACTTTTAATTATTTCTCATTTGAATCATTAAAATACAATTCACTCATAAATATACTCATTCTTTTTTGGTCTTTATAAAATGTTTATCCAATACAAACAGTTCCTAATATTTAAGATACTTAACTCAATGATCCCTTTATGTAACATCAAACAATTAGATCCATTTTTTTCAGTGTTTAGAAGATTAAATATATGAAATGGAAACTGGATTTTATTCAACTTCTTTATACCTACCATAAATAAGATGCTAGTTAGGTGTTTTGGGAAGAAAGATATACACGCGGGGCTTCTCTGCCCAAGTAGTTCGTAATCAAAACAATCATTGAAAGATGTAAAGAGTAAAAATAGGTGTTTGTGTGGCTCCCAGATAAACTGCATCGTATCATTAAGTTGCAGAATTTGAGTGTGTTATTTTCCTGATGTATTGTCCTTGGAGTTGCCAATTTTGCATAACCAACTGAATTCAATTGAAAGTTGGCAATGGTTTGAGGAAAAGGTGAGCATAGTGTGTCATAAAACTATATGGCATAGGGCAGGCATTTTCAGTATTACATTTTTAATTAATTAAAAGTAAGTAATTCACTAAGTTTGGCTGTCTCCACTGTTTCTGTTGAAATGGGTTAATCAAACATGAACACTGTTTCCAGAGGATTTAATCCTAAAATGTTTGCTTTCTCCAGTGTTTCAGTTTGGTCTTATTCTTAAAAAGATAAAAACGGTTAAGAACATTCCACTCCCCCTCACCCCCTTTTTAAAATTCAGTAGATGCTTTAAACATGGGATGACAGAAGGCTAATGAAAAGTAAGGGGAGCAACTGACATTTCTTAAGGTTAAGTATGAGAACATTTCAAAATAAAAAACCTGTCTCAAACAATCAAACGTTTGTCCACTGGGTGCCACTGTCTTCCTTACCAGGCTATGCCACTAGAGGTTGCAGGAAGAAAAATTGTTTTTAGTTCTTAAGACAATGACGTGTGTGTGTGTGTGTGTGTGTGTGTGTGTGTGTGTGTGTGTGAGAGAGAGAGAGAGAGAGAGAGAGAGAGAGAGAGAGAAATGAATAGTTTTGGCTGTATACATGTAGACATCTTAAGGTTTCTTTTAAACATCACGATTTGTCACAAGGATGGTGAGAATGCTAGCTGGCTTTCACTGGTAATCAGAATTGTTTTGTCAGCCCTGTGGCTGGGCAAGGGCCAGATGGGCTAGAAATTGGCCTGGTGGGCTAGAAATTGATGGGTAGGGAGGGCAGAGAACATGCAAAGGACAAAGATTTGTGCTTTAACTAAGGAGTAGAAGCTCATGGTATTGTCAACCAGGGATTCTACCTTTGAGAAACAGATAATCTCATTGTTAGCTAAATTTTTACCTCTTGGCTTTGCCTGTTAGAGAAGGACATAAAATTAACTCAGAATTAAAAGTATAGATGCTTAGGGTTTCATCTACAGTAAGCATCTGTTGATCCTGGGCCTCAGTTTACTTAAACTAAACCTTTCTAAGGTTCCTTTCAGCAAGGACTCTGTTGCTTCACTATGAGGAGAAAGAAAGAAAGAAGAAAGAAAGAAGGAAGGAAGGAAGGAAGGAAGGAAAGAAAGAAAAGAAAGAAACAGAAATAGTGAGAAAATAAGGAGATTGTGTCCATTTTGTCTGTGAGGTCACATAATAAACAGAATTCTTGTTGACTTCCCTCTAGCTAACCATTATTCTTCATTTCTCTGCACTCATGTCACCATTGTCAAAAAAAATAAATATGAGATCAGGACAATTTTCAATTGAGACATAATCTGGGCTATAGGACATAAGTTTGTGGCAATTTAGTTAGACAGAGTAAGAAAAGGGCATAAGACCCCAACTCTCATTCTGGGTTACAATGGTAAATGACTCAAAATGTTATCAAGTTTTGCTAAAGAAAATACTTGATTATAGTTTCTATAGTTTAAAATCAGGGGGAGGGAACACCTGGAAATGGTGTAGTAGATAAAAAACTAGAAGCAGGGATAGGAAAGAAGGAATAGGGTTAATTCAAAAGAACATAAGCACCCCTGTGTTCACTGCAGCATGATTCACAATAGCCAAGATTTGGAAGTAGCCCATGTCCATCAGCAGATGAGTGGATAGAAAAAGCTGTGGGACATTTACACAATGGAACACTACTTGGCCATAAAAAAGAAGAAAATTTCCCCCTTTGTGACAGCATGGATGGACCTGGAGGACATTATGCTGAGTGAAATAAACCAGTTAGAGAAAGACAAATGCCATTATGATTTCACTCATATGTGGAATCTAATGAACAAACCAAACTAACACGCAAAGTAGAGACAAATGCATGGGTAGAAAGCCAGCTGACAACATGGGGGTTGGCACTGGGGGAGGAGGAGAGGGAGTGAGCCAAAAATTAGAGGGCAGTAAACAGTGTGGTAATTGCCTGGCCAGGACGGGGGTGCGGTGCGGGGATGGTGGGTAGAGGTGGAAGAGGGTACAGGGGAATCAATGGGGATGGGAAATAATAAAATAAAATATAAATTTAAAAAAGAAGGGAAAAAAAAGAATAGTGTTAAGGAATAGAGGGAAAGAAGAGTTAAAAAGGTTTCTGCAGAAACTCATAAAAGCAGGTTTTGCGTGTGTTCTGGCTTTTATCACCAGTACGTGCAGGAGGGACAAGGAAAGAAGCTCAGGGGGCTGCCTTTTGACCATACACAAGCACTCAGGTCCTGCAGCTTTTGTGCTGAGATGCCACAGCTTTTTATGCTAAGAAAGTGTCAGGAAAACCTACAGTTTCACAATGGAGCACAGATGCAGAGACACCCCAGTGCAGAGGATGCAGCAGCCCATTTCCTGAGATGCTTCCTCTGGCAAAAAACATTGGCCCAGTGTCTCATTCATCAGCAGCTTCTGGTTCTCAGCTCTCAGCAGCAGACCCAGGAGAGCTCAGGCTTTGTTTCTGCTCCATTCATTGCTTGTACACCTTGGGCGATTCACTTACTTTCTCTGAGTCACAGCTGTCTGATCTAGAAGAGGGTAAACGTACTGGTTCCATAGGGCTGTTGTGAGCATGAAATAAGTCTGTCTGGCTCTTAGTAGGTTCTCAGTACATGTACATTTATCTTCACTCCTGCTAGTGGTCACAATAGAACTGGGTGAGTCTCTGTGTCATGGACTAGTGTGTGTGTGTATGTATGTGTGTCTGTAAGAAATTTATTTCTTTTTTTTTCCATTAACGTCTCTCCAAGTGTTTGAAAGCTACCCAAACATAACAGCAGCTCCTCTCCAGCACTCACAATCTTACAGTCATTCAACCAGGAAAAGCCACGCTCTGCACCCCAGCTTTCTTGTCCATGTTTGGCTTTTTCAC